TTACACATATGTACATTTATACATATATAGACATATACAATACACACTCATACATGCTTGCACACATACACACTCACATATACACCCTTGCATTTATTCTGTAGCCAGTCTCACATGGCTTCTCCCAGCCTGTAGCAGTCCTGTTGTCTCAGCCTCCTGAGTGCTGCAATTAGTGGCTGGTACTTCCCTTACGATTCTGTGCCTCAGGGTAATAAACAATATACTATGATTTGAAGGAATAAGTAGACATTTGTGCATGTGTTTGTGCATATGTGTGTATGTACACATTTAATGCCTCTAGAATAATGTAGAAAACCCATCCCCCCAAAAAGTATTTTACAAAGAAAATACTTTCTTTTATCTTTAGTACAAATCTGAATTATATATATTTGCTAAAAAATGTAGTTCTCTCCAGGATTCTATTCATCTCCTTATATAAATTTTAGGAAGGAATGGATACTTAGTGACACTCTCTGACTTCTTTGGTTATTTTATGGATAATTATTTTCATATTCCCTTATTTCTATCTAGAATTGCCTTTCACTGTTTCATAATGCATTGATAAAAGATAATTACCATTCCACTTAACATAGTACAAAATCATATTGAATAATTAAAAATGATATCCCGCCATCTATCAAAAACATGGCTAATTACTTGCTAAATTATATTGACTACCAGACTCTATTTTTATGGTGCTCATTTATGTTTTTTTTAAAATATATAGTTTTGTAACATTTTGAGGCTGTGCATGACCATAATATGTATAAAAAAATAACATCATGAAAGCTTCAGACACGCTTATTTAAAGACAATTTTGGATACTTTGGACTCTGGCGTTATAAAAACATATTGACACCAGAATTCTTTGTTTTAAAAAAAGAAGAATCCACTTCTTAATGGGTGGGAAGGAAAATGGAAATTGAAAACAAGGGTTGCTTCAGCATCTTTCAACGGTGAAGACCTTCCACTCAGTTGCACAATGAATGGCTCAAGCATTAGGAATTCTTCATTTTAAGAAGAAAGAAGTCAGATCAGTTGAATGTGAGCCTTTGTTAGGCTCTGGGCATCTGCTGAATTGCTACCATCATCCGAAGATCCACATGGGCTCATTCATTGTTTTATGTGAGTTCAGTGAATTCTTACTATTGGAACAACAAAGAGGGAGGCCTTGAAAGCCCTGAAATTCAGGGAAAGATTTAACCAAAGCCCCTGGGGAGAAGGGGACAGCTGGACAATACATAGTGATTGCAAACAGAGTGTCAATTGTAGACACATGTCCCTTCATACTGTGACCCCTGATAATAGACCTAAACAGGTGTCATCATGAAAAAAAATGGAGTGTTGCTCGTGGCACCAGCCACCCGTCTTTGTAGCACCCTCCTTTCCTTCATGCGTGAGATGGAAGCGATTTCCTTCCCATAGGTTTCCCTGGCTGGGCACATTCTGGCCACTGTCCAGCTCTTTACTGAATAGTGTGCTTAGAGGAGGAGTTGGGAGAGTTTTCCTAAAAAGGATCAGCTAATAAATATTTCAGCTTGCAGTCCATATGGACTGTGCTGTAACGACTTGATCCTAAAAGCAGCAGGCATTCCTCTCTGAGAAGACAATCCTGCCTGTGTCTGCGCACATTTGCTCACGCCACTGGAGACAGAGCAGGATTTTGCTTGCTCTTAGACACTGATAATTTTCCATTTATTCATTATTAAACTGTTCATTAATTAAATAAGGGTTTATTGAGCAGATATTAGGTGCTAGATATAAAAATATGATGGAGGATTGATCACAAACTTCCCAGAGAAGAGCAGGCAAAACTCTTGTTAGTGTTTGAGTACAGTAAACTTTATTACCAATATATATATATATATATATATATATATATATATATATATATATTTATATTTATATGTGTATATATATACATATAAAGGAGAAAAAGTATATGCTTTTGTTTGTTAATGGGTGCAAGACATATCTGGTGCAATTCAACATTGGTTCATGAATAAAATTAAAGCAAGCTCTTTGGCCCTGAAAATTTCATGAGGAGATCTTTACAATGACAACACCAGTTGACATGCCAAATGGATGGTGGAATTTCACAAGGCTCTACTTGTAGATGAAGATCTATAGACAACTAAGGGATGCAGAGAGAGCAAGACTCGGTCTTTTCCGGGGATGAGCCTTCTGATAGGTTATCCAGTTCCAAGCAGTAAGGTCTAAACACATGCACTTAGGAGCAACACCAAATGGACTCAGTAGGTTGTACATATACACACTTATGTGCATATAAATAATAATATGTAAACAATAATAGTTAAAGAAGATGTCATGAATTTGGGAGGGAGTGGGCAGAAGAAGATATCAAAATGGTATAAATTCAATATATAAAAATCCTCAAAAATTTAATTGTATAAAAAACACTCATTGTAAAATATTGAAAGGTATTTTAGCTGGCATTGGGGATGAAGCCGTGGCAGGAATTATCACTGCTATGATTCAGTATTGCAAAGTTCGGTCACCAGTGCAATAAAGCAAGAAAAATCAATGTAAACTTTGCAGTATGTCAAGAATTGGAAGAAGGCTCTATAGATTATACTATTAGAACAAATAATGGAATTCAACTGACTCACTTGCCATTCACTACAAAGTGAATATATAAAAATTAGTTGCATTTTTATATGCCTTCAATAAGCAACTTTAATTTGAATATGAACTAGTTTAAAGCTTATCCAAAGAATAATTACTCAGGAACAAAAGAAATGTAAACCGGAGGGAAGTAATTTGTGAATTTCAAGACTGAGTCACATGCTTTTCAATCACTTTTTAGAAGTAGGGGAAAGAAATAATTGTATTTATACACATGGAGAGAGAGTTGGGAAAGGCCACTATATGGCTTATCTATAAATTTTGTTGCCGAGATGACCTCAGTTCTTCCTTGTTTCTTTATTTACTATCTTAGATCGAGTGATATCACCATTCAGATGGCAGTATTCCCAAGCTTCCCAAGCTGACACTGCATCTAACTCCACTTGGTTTGTCTTGGTGCCCTGATCTGATCTGTGCTTGAGTCTCTGTCTCATCTAGTTTTCTCTCTCCCTTCTCTTTCCCTCCCCTTCCCTCCTCTTCTCTTCTTTCTTCCCCCTCTGCACCCTGCCCCTCTGTTTTTCTCCAAATATTCTCCCCCAGTGAAACTGGTCAACTAGCAAGTATGTGGGGCACCAATATACCAGTTAGCATTGATTAAGTAATATATTTATCAAAACAGCCTCCACCCAGCAAGGCGTTAAAATGAGCTTTGTGCACTTAGAAGGAAAGACTAAACCTGAAGCCTAGCTATACTGGTCGTCCTGCAATGTGTCCTGGGTATCTGGATCCATATCCAACATGTGGGTCCTCAAAGGATTTAAGAGGTTGTGATTAAATTTACAGTCGTGCCATCAAGTCCCTTGAAGCAGCCGAAAATTCTCTCCAAAGGCAGTGGGGTGAACCCATTCCCCCCAGAAGCAAGGATCTCTTCTGGGGTGAATGATACCAAACCCCCCACACCCGCCACACACTCAAGAGAGCCAAAACAGCTCCTACTATAGATGGGGAACCAGAGAGGACACAGCAGACGACATCTGGAAATGATGGGAATGAATGATTCTCTGTATATGGGGCTGGCATAATTTCATCCGTGGAGGCTTGCTGGGTTGGGTTTTTAGACATTTGCACTGATTCTGGTGTTGAACATTTGTTCCTTGAGTTTAATAAAAGTGATAATGAAGTTGTAATCCAGGAGCAAGCTCTGCATTTGGAAAAAGATATAGGATCTGTAACTGTGTGCTAGAGAGAGCTGGATACTGGCTCAAGGCCAAGCTAGCTTGGCCTCAACACATGAATAAGTGGCCAGAGAAGCCTGTACTGGAGTCCGCCTTACACCAGAAGAGGCTGAAAGCCCTGGTACCTCTTCTCTGTGACAAACTCAGAAAGGAACGAGGTGAGAATTTCTTTCTCTTCGTGTTGCTCCCCAAGACAAACCAAGTGGAGTTAGATGCAGGGTCAGCTTGGGAAGCTTGGGAGCACTGAAGAGAAAGTAGAGATTGCTATGGAAAAGCGATCGTTGGAAATGAAAGCCCCTTAATGAGTATTTAACCTGCTCCGTTGGCTACAAAGTTAACATTCCTCCGAGTCTCTAATTCCCTCTTTGTTTTGGGAATGTTCACATTTTAATGTCAAAACAACTCCAAAAAGTGGGATGAGTTTACCCATCTGGCCTGGCGCTGGGACACTGAACTGTTCTGCAGACAGAGTCCAATGCTTTAGGGTCAGTTTCGGTCCACAGGGTCTCACGTCTTCCCACGGCTAGCTCTCCATTTCAGACCAATCCCCACTTCCATACACATTTGGCATTATCTTTCTCTTTAATTGGTTGATTTTTTTATTAAATTTTTTATACAATATATTTTGACCATATTCTTTCTGTTTCATCAACTCCTCCCTTATCTCGGGCAGGTCTATATTCAGGAGTAGTTGACCAATGCAAAATAGGGTCCATGTTTTTTGTTTGTTCATTTGTTTTTGTTTTGTATGGGTGTGTGTGCGCACATGTGCACGTGTGCGTGCACAAGTGTTACCAAACTTTACTTTTGCTCTGCTTTCCCTTTGTGAGTTACTTGTCTTTCTCTGGTTTTCAATCCATCCTGAGTCTTTTTCTTGATTCATGTCAGTCTCAATATTTCTGTATGCAGTGCGGATAGCATTTTTACCTTTTAAATCAGTGTCTTTTAGGATTAAATATGTTCAAGGAATCAAACACAATATCTGGCACACTCATAAAAGTTAGCTAACAGCTTTGCCCATTGTAGAGTTATTTTTTTTTTTATGAAAAAAAGGTGTATAAAAGGTTGTATTATGTAGCTCTAAAGTGATGTGGGATTCTCATCTGTATGCTATGATTACCATTAATGAAGAAAGAAACTTGCTTGGCCTATAGCAAAGTAGAACTTAGGTGGAGAAACCTAAACTGAATGCTGGGAGGAAGAAGGCGGAGTCAGGGAAAAGCTATGGAGCTGCTGCTGGAGACAGATGTGCCGAAACTTTGCTGGTAGGCCAACACCTCATGGAGAGGTACAGATTAATGTAGATGAGTTAAATTAAGATGTAAGAGTTAGCCAATAAGAAGCTAGAGCTAATGGGTCAAACAGTGATTTAATTAATACAGTTTTATGTAATTATTTCAGGTCTGAGCTGCTGGGCGGCCTGGAAACAAACTAACGGCCTCCTTACAACATCGAAGCTCATGCTGCATTCTTTTATATCTAACTGCAAAAATTCCTGCATAACTGTGTGACATCAGCCATCATTCTGAACGGGCAAGATGGCATCTGATCTAAATGCCCAGAACAGACCATGGAGCAATACCATGGTTAAGTGTAAATGTGGAAGAACTATTGATATCTGCCACCTAACCCTGGGTTGGAAATCCCTTAGCAAACGGCTTCTCTGTTCATCCATGTCCCTATCTGTCAATAAAACCTTCTCCTTCTCCTGAAGCTGTTGAGCATCAGCGAGGCAATGAATAGCAGTGCTCGGTCAATCACTTAGTTCTTAGGGACATGGTGGTCAGAGTTAACTGAGGAAAACACTAAGATCACATTATCGTTAACCTCTGTGGGCTTTTCCATTCGCCCAATCACTTGGTTTGCATTTATATGGGAACCATTGAGTCCTAAAAGAGAGCCCTGACTCCTAAGGATGACAGACTAGCATCTAATGCAATGTGCACAGCACAAATATTTAATATCTGGAAAGGGTCTTGTTGTGTAGCCTAGACTGGCCTTGAACCCACGATCCTCTTACTTTTATCACCCATCTCTTAAATGCTGTGGTTAGAGGGGTACACCACCACATCTGGCTCATGAATGCTAGACCTCCCTGGTCTCTAGTATTGACTGGTAATATGTCCCCATCAGCTTCCTAGTGCAGACTTAAGCATTTTGCGGGCATCAGTCACTGGAGCTTTGGGAAGGGCCATTTGGTACTGTCTCCCTACTGCTTTGAATCTTAGTGACACACTTTTTCTCCTGGGATAGACAGTTCATCATGGTCCCAGATTAGCTGACCTTATACAAATTCCTCCCTCCTCTCAAACAGTTCTCCATTCTATCCCTGTTTCTCTTCGAGGTCTTGCTACCACCTGACGCTTATACATGGTTTTCTGTCTGTTTGGAATACACATTCCTTCACTGACTTATTTATTCCAAAGTTTCTTCAGATTTCAGCCTGAGTCATGCTTACAGCAAGGAAGTGTTGCCCATCAATCTAATATTGCATGTGCTCTTGCAAGGAACGTCTGTCTTTTGGATAATCTTTATAGACAGAGTTTTAAATTTAGTAATTCTAGCTTGCACCAGAGTCTTACGTCTGTGTGATCGTTTGACTGCTGTATATCTCCTGCATTGCCTTGTGTGGTCCCTATGGTCAAGGACCCCCTTCCACCTGTCACCTATGCCGGTAGCAAATAAACGATCCACTTCTTAAGACCTTTGACCCAACTCTGCCCTGAAAACCCTGGGCCTCCCAACCATTCAGACACCAAAGGAGCTGTGTTTGGCACAGCAGAGCTCTTCAGAAGCCCTGTCCCAGCACTCTGGCTGGTGCATATGTCCTGATATACCTCCCCCATTCTGAACTATTTTTATTATAACATGGTAGAACCTTTACTGGGTGAAGTAAGTGCTCCTTGTAAAGACACATGCAGGTGTCTCTCTTGCATCTGAAACACAGCAGAGTCCAGCTGGGACCAGAGATGAGGCTTGGGCTGTCGGAGCCCTGAACTTCAAGGCCAGTACAGGCCTTATCCATAGGGGACTTTCTCTTGATTACGTGCACTGCCGCTGTGGTGGCTGGAGTTTGAGACCTGGGGGTCTACACCAGAAGCTGTAGTTCCTGAGGGAAAATGTGGAGGTGGGAAATAAACCCCCAAATACATCAGTTGTGCCTCCCCCAAACTTCTGCAGGCCATTCTTTACTGGGTGAGTCGATGGGGTTCTGGAGAGACGCTTTTGATAAGAGTTCCCACAGGGGTTTGTCCCTTTTAACCTCGCTCATGTTGATCTTTTTTCCCCCCTGTGTATTTTTCTGTATAAAACAGGTAAATGCTGAGGCACCTTAGCACATTTCTCTCCCGGGTCAACAAACAGCACACCCAGAACTGTATCTACCCCATGAGTGTGGCAGAGACAGATGCCTGCTCAAGTTTGACGTTGGCCTCCGTTGAGAAGCTGTGCTAATTATGAAGGTGAAGACAGAGGGCATGGAAGGAATCCGGGCTGCACCTCCGAGGAATGTCCATTTCTCAGTTTCACGGGGGCAAAGCTCGCTTCCCTGGGCCCTGCCAGCCTCTGATGGCATTTTGAAATTTCAGAGTGATACAGAGGGCATCAAGGCAGGGGACTGGCAGCCCGAAGCTCTCAGAAAGTGACTGACAAGTCCGAAAAGAAGCAGGTAGGACACATTGAGGCTATGGAGGAAGAAAACTCCCAGAAGTCAAACAAAATACGCATTCAAAGGACCGTCAGGTCAACCTGATCTGAATTTTAATTGGTCGTTCACTATTTAAAGAAGGAAGAAAATTGTATACAATTTTTGCCCTTGAGGACTTTCTAGCCCAGAAGGGAAGACTAAAGTATATAAAAATAAGTATGCTCTCAAGCGGAACAGGAGAGCAGCAAGAGATTGGGGACTTTGGATACAAATACGACTTACTATAGGGGCAGACAGTACTTCCTGGAGGTACCATTTGAACACCTAGTGTGTCTGGAACCCTGGGCTTATGGAGACAGAGGAAAGGCTGTTTGTCACAAGTATTCAGCAGAGGAGCAAAGCTGATCAGGGCTCTGACAGCAGTAGCTGAATTAGTCCCAGATGGGAGATGAAGGGATGCAGGGCAGGAGAAATATTTGTATGACTTGGGGCCAATGGACTGAAGGACCAGAGGATGAATTCTCTCCTATGGGCATAAGAAGGCTTAAGGGGATGTAGATGGCGGAGCCGGAGGCTGAGAAGAGGAGTCTGAAGTTTAGGAGAAAATACAGGAGGATGATGACCGTTTCCACAAATCCCATGTATCAAAGGGAAAGTAATTGTGACAGGCAGCACCGGCTTTGGTTTAGTTTGTGTTAGGCTTAGAGTGCTAGCAGGATGGAGGATGAAGATAGCCAGTCAGAAGGAACGACTGGGGTTGAAGGCTAGGACTGAGCTACGGGTGTGTGGGTGGAAATCAATGAAGGGAAAGATGGGAACAGAAACAATGGTGGTCTGCCCAAGGACGAACTCTAGAGAGAAGCTGAGCAGTGAGTCCCGGGGTCTAGGAAGTTCCTAAGAGTCAGTGGCCACAGACTGTGCCTACAGAGACCTTGCTGAGGTGAGTGGGCCGAGACACGCTTGTCGGAAGGTGTGAAGATGGAGTTTTGGAACTTACCGGTCTGTGTCCACACATGTCCAGTTCCATTTTACTGGTGACTTTCTTCCACAAGGAAAGCCCCACATGTCAGGAACGGCTTCCCCATCAATCCCAGGCAAACTGAGATAGTTGGTATATATAAGGATAGCTCTATATACACAAAGCCTCACTAAATAAAGACCCCACGACTAACCGCTTATCTCAGTAACTTTTCTAACTGTTCTGTGACTTTACTTTAAGGCAGAGCCTTCTTCTATAGCTCAGGTTGCTTTGAAGTCATGATTCCCCTGCTTCAGCCTCCTGAGTACTGGGATTACAGGTATGCACAATCATGCCTGGCTCCTTTCTCGCTTTCCTACCAGATAATAAACCTTTTTTTTTTTTTTTTTTTTTTTTTTTTTTTTGCTGAAGCAAATGTATACGATAAAGAACTCTTATGCACAGACTACCCAGTAGCCCTGCCGGGTAAAGCTTGGGTGTAATTGATAAAATCTGTTTACTAATGGGCCGTGTTTCCACACAGAGGTAGTGAAATGGGTTCCAGCTTTGCTGAAAACCCTTCTGGTTTGCAAGTTCAAAGCAATCACCTGAGAGGAAAGAATGCTAGAGTTTTAAATGTTTTTTATTCTCTGTCTTCTTACCTGCTTGAAACTTGGGCTTGGGAATATGGCTGGGTGACAGAAGAGAGGCAGGTGGACAGTCAAGGAAGGCTGGGCTTGATGTGTGATTGAAATCTTCACCTTGATAAGGAGACTGGGAACCAGTGGCTCTTTGCCCAGGGGGCTATAAACCATTGTTTCCTTTAATGCAGAGAACCTGTGGATTCTCCTCTGTGAACATCTACTTTTGGGAAAAGCCTTGCCACACCTGGCAATGTGCTTCTTGTCCAGCCTTCAGACATCTTCAGTTCCAAGCTAAACAATGAACAGTAAGAACAAAATCAAACCCAAGCTCCACAAACAAATAGCAATAAAGCTATAAACACTGTTTCAGAGGAATCAAATTTCAAATATAGAGAACAGGTAGCCACACATAAGCTACGGAGAACCATGTAAAAAACCTGTAAAAATTTCTGTATGTGGAGCAGAACCTTCAAGGCCGTTTAAACCATGGTGGATGATCAGTGTTGGCTTGCTTCCATCCCCTCCAGCCATTCCCAGCGGGATGAAGGCAGCTCGCCTCTGTCTCTTGCTCAGCTTCCAAGCTCTCCTGGCATCGTGTGCCATTGGGTAGAAATAAGCCTCATGAATTACAGTATCAGGTTAAAGATGAGCGCTTCTCCGCTGTCTTTTTTTCCCCCTCCTTCTTACGTTTGCCAAGGCAGAGGGGCTGGAAAATTTCTCTAAGAACTGCTCTATTTGCAGCTATGATCAAGTAAGATGTAATAGATTTTACTCTTCGTTCTGTTAGTTTGATGACTTTATCAGATGGATTCTGCAAGACGAAGGACACACGGGGTGCAGTTTGGCTAATGCTTCTGGGTGACCTAACGTTCAGGAAGTGACAGCTTTACTTACACTTGTGTTGAACTATGTGGGGTTTGCGTTTAACATCCTGAAAAGCAACTCACTCATTTCCTCATGGTCCCCAGTTTGCGGCATTTTCATAGTGAAGCAAACCCTGCTAGAGCATGTCACAATCACTGTTTTTTTTTTTTTTTTACAGAAAAAGAAATGCCACGGATATGGTCCTTTCTGCAGAACTCTGTGGAAACAGGATTGGATCCTAAAGATGAGTGGCAAGGGACAACACAGGTGGGCGGAGCTGTGAGCTGGCTGTGGAGGAAGTGGTAGGGAATGGCTGCCCTGCTGAGTTCTGTGCACAGGGATGGCATGCTGTCTCTCCTTCATGCTGTGCTTTTTTTTTATTGTATACTTTATTGTTTTTAATTGAGCTATACATTTCCCCTCCTCCCCTTCCTTCCCTCTCGCCTTCCACTCTCCTCTCCTGCCTTCTCTGCTCCCAATTTACTCAGAAGATCCTGCCTTTTCCCCCTTCCTGGCGGATCTATCTATTTCTCTCTCGGGATCTTCTTTGTTGTCTAGGTTCTCTGGAGTAGACTGGTTATTCTTTGATTTATGTCTAAAAGCCTCTTCATGTTCTCTCTCTCTCTCTCTCTCTCTCTCTTTCTCTCTCTCTCTCTCTCTCTCTGTGTGTGTGTGTGTGTGTGTGTATGGAGAGTGCCTAGCTGGGCAGATGGCCTTGTCCCTTCCTGTAGGATGATGTCCCAGCTCTTAGGCTGGTCTCTTGTAGTTAACATAGAGAAATACCAGAGATAAATGAACTCTGAAAAGTTGTGGCTCAAGAGGTTGCCTGGATGCTATTC